AAAAAATCTGCAACTCATACTACAGGCAAACTGGGTTGTTTTCATACAAAATAAAACGTGCAAGTTGATATTGGTACTTCATTAAAATGCTCACTGCGTAAACAGTAAGTGACGGCACACGTTCACAATCATAATAGTTTACTTACGATTATTGGTCAACAGTTTTAATCACCTAGCGTGAAAAAAATGTTACTGAAATTTTAAACTTATGTGACAGCTTTCTTTTAAACATTTGTGATAGTTACAGTTATTAGTGATATAAAACTCAAGTTATTGTAATCTTTATTGACTTTCATTTTGGTGGGTTCACAGGTTTCAAAACGAGGCTACATGGCACAATTTTCGTCTTAAATTCGGTTTCAGTATTTTATGTATTTCTGTGTAAAATACAATAGTATAACAAAAAAATTGAATCGCGAGTGTTTCATTTTTAGGGAGTGGTATGAAATAGTCAATTATCTAGTCAGCAATTAAATTATGTGGCAGCAAAAACGTTTATGAATTTGGTTTATATATATATGCTACAATTAAAACATTATTAACTAGTCTAAAAGATAGTTATCTAATGTCAGTCTTACTAACAAAAATGTCCTATCTAAACAACAAAAAATACAAGTTGTTGTTTATTCTCTTTGACATTTCTAATCAAACTATATTATTATTGCTAATTAAATTCACTTTTGCGTAGCATTTCCTGCCAATCAAACTGTTAAATTAAGTTGTGCCCTGATAAAGCAATATGTACCTACACAAACAACTGCCAACAGGTGCGAAGTTTCAAAGATTCATTTGTTTAAAAACTTCTGCACAGCTGTTAGAGTTAAGGCAGCGTACTGCTGATATGGCACAGCTCTGACATAATTGTATGCAAATACTCAGGAACTTGGCATTATCTAACGATTTTTACACTTTCAAAAGCTAAGTGCCTTTGTTATATAGATAACTGTATGTACACCTTAAATTAAGTATTTAACGACACAATATTATAGCCCAGAAAGCTTCAATGGAGAAGTTGAAGCATTGTTCAATAGTAAGTGTAAGAAATTACTCGTGAAAGTTTAGGCGTTGGAGCAAATTAAAAGACTTTTAGTCTATATACTTACATAAGTTTTATTTTCTCAGATTTGAGTAAAACTTGTACTTAAAACTGTAAAATATAGTAAACTTACTATATTTTATAAATATTTCAGTGACAAAAATCAAACTTTTGACTTTGTTAGTTTCAAAGGGTCCCATAAATTCGTACGACACCTGGATCTGGGAATAAAAGGGAATACATATTTTTATTTTCAAAAATCGAGACCTTTAGCCCCTCCCCCACAGTAACGTGAAGCTTTTATTATAAATTCAGACTTAAGAATTTGATGATTGTTTGTTTCAGACATTCGTACAAAACTACTCTAGGGGAATACCAACACTAGCTGCCCCTAAATTCGAATTGATAAGCTAGTCAACAGCGCACCCACCACCAACTTTTGAGCTATTCTAATTGAATAGTGTGATCTGATTGTCGTTATTATAACGCACCCACGACCCAATGGCAAGTGACCAATTAAAACCGACTTAAGCGTGCAACTTTAATTAGTCTGATGTTACCGCTGAGCTAGAGAGTCGGTAATGGTAAGATATAAAAAGTAATGCAATGCTGACAGACTATAGATAGTATTTTATAAATATTCTAAGTCGTTCTTTAGAGAATCTAGTCTAAAATAAAGTTGAATTTCACAAGAAAAATAAAAGTTTAACTATTATTTTAGAATGTACTATTAGAAAAAGCGACGATACTTTTATTCTAGAAAGATTTAATCTTCTTAGATGAGAGTAAATTTTAACCTTAATATAATTAGCTTGTTTATACTATTTTGAATGTTTAGTCAATAGTTTTAGTTTAGGATAAGATTAAATTACCTATACATACACCGAAATATATCCTACCCTACATATGATATATCATAATAATCTAAAGACAAACACATTATAAAACAAACCCCGACAAGACAGGAAAGAGATTAGATGAGAGACTACATGTATTAGCCCACCTTGTTCCCTGTACCAGCACAGGAAATGCCTAGAGCCATGGCTGCTCCATATCGCACGTGAGGGTTGTAGCTCTCAGCCAATAGAGACACCACACTGGGACACTGGTCAGGTGTTCTGCAAAGAATAATATAAGAGATTTTCATGTTATTTGTGATTAGAAGTGGGTTTTAGAGATTTGCTTCACTAGAATATTCTGCTATTTCAAATGCAAAATTCATCGAATATATTGAATAAAGTAATCAGGTTGTAATCTGAAATATCTTAAGCTCTCAAAGTTATCAACATCCATATCATTACCATCTGAAAACTGACGTCTCTTCATCAAATCAGATCTTAGTCTTCAGCTTGGTAGGTAAGATATACAACCTATTCCTATTACTTACAAACACTTTAATAACTACTTGGGATCACATTATAAATAAATTGTAAATATACAGGTATATTGTCTCATAATGCAGACAAATTTGTAAGAATAAACTTGATATTTCAATTCAAAACAGTTAAACTAACTTTGACAAGAACGTGTCATGTTTGGATACAATGTAATGATACCAATGCTTTCATATTTCAAAACACACGTCTAAAATTCGATTTATACGTTAATATAAACAAAATGACCCTACTGTTTTAAAATGATGGATACAATATACAATACTTTGGTTGTTCTAAGTTTATGGCTATATTTAAATGGATTACATATTATATCGAGGCCGAAAGTTATAATAAATTTGTTTCCTACCTCTGACAAGTTTCGTAAAAGCTGCGAAACAAACGTTGTAATGCTCACTCTAGTGTACCACCACATGTATATAACAGACCAAAATACACTTACCTTTTCATCCTAAGTTAAACACAAAATGTCACTCACCAAAAAATATTAAATTATTATTAAAAAAAAGTAAAACGTCACCTATTCCACATGTAGCCTATACCAGTATTGTGGTGTAGTTTGGGTATGTTCTACATAAGTGTCTCTCAAATGTTTGGATTCTGCAATAACTGTGGTAGTACCATTGGAGAGGCCAGTTTTTGTTGAAAATTTGGAAGAGGCTAAATGAAAACATTTATTCTTCACAGATACTGCACAGGAAAATGTTGACTGCTGTATGTAGTCAATGGTTTTATTATGATATACCGATACTTAGCTAACAGTCGTACTAAATAGAGTGCTGATAAACAATCAAAAGTCTTACTTCACAAAGCTGATAGGCTGTCAATACCCTTACTACACAATGTTCGAAGGTAGTAGTTAAGTCTTACTATACACATCGTTAATAAACAATCAAGAGTGTTACTTCACAATGCTAGTGGCACAGTGGTATGTCTGCGGACTTACAACGCTAGAAACCGGGTTTCGATACCCATAGTGGACAGAGCACGGATAGCCCATTGTGTAGCTTTGTGCTTAACTACAAAACAAACAAACAAACTTCACTATGCTAATAGGTTGTCAATAACCTTCTTTCTCAATGCTGGTCAAAAGTCGAAATGTTCATACACAGTGGTGATATAGACAGTCCACAGTCTATTTACACAGTGCTGATGGATAGTCACTAGTTTACCTACATAATGCTGATAGAACAGTTGATAGTCTTTTAATACAGCGAACTTGTAAACAATCAACAAAGCAATGAAAGCGTTTGGAGTATAAGAAGTCTACATATTTATAGGCAACTATCGAGAATACATGTTAACACTTTTCTTCAATAAATTCATTATTCGATAAAAAGTTAATCAGTAAGAAAACAAGTTAGATTAAAAGGTAACTAATCCGCTACTGAATTTCCAAAAGAAAATTTAAGCAATAATAGAGAATGAAAAGATACTAAAGCAGTAGCATCCTTATCAATGCGCACAGACAATATAAATCTGGATAATTATCTTATCTAGCTGGAAAACAGATAATTTGGTTTAAAGAGTTTTAATTTTGCAATATCAAAGTAGAGATAGCTCAGAAACCGAATCACAGATTAAAGTAAAACCGGTTTAGCGATTCTCCTGCCAGTATAAATAAATGCTGTTAGAATAAATGTCCCTTTTAACGTGTTTCATGTTTGCATTTAGCGATAATTTTTCAGGTCAAAAGGATATGTATAGCAGAGTGATTCTCAATAGTCTAACGTCAATACATTATGGTTTACAACACAAATTAAATATGCAGAGCTTTTATAATAGCAAATATCACTGCAATCCATGTTGGTAAGAACCACGAACTAGAAAAGCTAAAAGTTAACTATAATTTTCAATTATAAATATCATTAAATGTGAGTATAGAAAATAAGAAAGAAAAGACAAACAAAGGAGTTACAAACATAATGTGATTGTTCATGCAGCAACGACTGTGTAAGCAAATAGATGTTGTACAAAGGTTATAGATAAAAAATGTTTTCAATACAGTAAATCGTATAATAAAAAAGTACTTTACTTATTAGCATTAAACAGACAAAGGTGTTACTCAATTGAAATTATTATTCTATGGAAATCAAATGTTACAAATGTGATCACATGGCATAATAGTTTCAGCGTTAAATCCATAATATTTGTAAATCTTGCTGCTCTCTCAATAAATCGCGTCTGCAGTAATTGTTCTGATCGACGCTACAAAATAGACAAAGTATGGTAATATTCATATCCAGCCATTGTTAACTACGTCGTCTGAAACTGCTTTGATATGATATTTTGTACAGTAAAATCAAGTGTTTAACAGGATGTCGTATTAGTTTTAAAAGTTTCAAACATCGTTAAAATCTTGAGCGAAGCTTTTGTCACTTTGTATGCATGTCTTTCTACGAATAGAAAAGAAACATCGTCTTTAATTTAACCAATACACTAAGTGATACTACTAGTCTATAGAATAACATTACCTTCTTTCAGTCATGGAGAATTGGTGCCCAAGTATTCACTCCAATATACATACTATAACGAGTGTCTAAGCCTTACTTTGTATAGTCACGTATTATGAACATTTTCAGACACAAAAGTTATACATGTAAATTTAATTATTCATACCTTTTCAAGTATAAAAATCTTTACTATCACGTGCCATATTACTTTGACTGATGGCTAGCTACTTGGTATGGAACATTGATTATGCAGTTTTTCATTGTTAACATTGAAAGTTGACACACACATATCTTAAATGTGTGCAACTCATGTTAGTATCAAATTTCACGTTGTTGTTTTTTAAAACTTATTTATATACGACCATAAAAAAGAAAAACATAAAAAGAAATGTATTTCTGCATTTCTTTCATCTCCTAAATCACACTTTGTTTTTTCTTCAAGTTCGTATATAGCATCGAAAATAAATACTGGATGCTCTTATGTATTATATTATTGTTCGTCTATAGCATCGAGAACAGACATCTCTTAAATGTATTATATTAATGTTCGTCTATAGCATCGAGAACAGACATCTCTTAAATGTATTATATTAATGTTCGTCTATAGCATCGAGAACAGACATCTCTTAAATATATTATATTAATGTTCGTCTATAGCATCGAGAACAGACATCTCTTAAATGTATTATATTAATGTTCGTCTATAGCATCGAGAACAGACATCTCTTCAATGTATTATATTATTGTTCGTCTATCGCATCGAGAACAGACATCTCTTCAATGTATTATATTATTGTTCGTCTACAGCATCGAGAACAGACATCTCTTAAATGTATTATATTAATGTTCGTCTATAGCATCGAGAACAGACATCTCTTCAATGTATTATACTAATGTTCGTTTACCTCGTTGCACGTAGATTATCTACATGTATAGTTTCTTGATTATCAGTCTTGTATATCAAGTTACTTTCCAAAGATCTCTTTATAAAGCTTCCTAAACATTTATGAGAGCTTGTGTCGTATTTGCTTATTCATACCTTTATAACGATACCACACAAGAACCAGTAGGTCGTGGTTATCAGTCTAAATTATAATCAGTAGGAGTATAAATTTCTGGTGGTAGTTACTTTCTTTTCTGTAATTATAAACACTGGTTGTTCGATTTTTAAATCTACAACGTGTTGGTTATACCCCATTTTGGGGGTCGTAAAATGCATTGCGTTATATTTAGATTACATATTCGTTAAAAAAGCTGGAGACTGACAATGAGCAACGCACAGTAATTTGTGAGAAATATTACGATTCATTCATATGCAGTTTACAATTCAAACCAGTAAAAAAATACATCGGTTTTCTTTTGTTGTAAGTTGTACGCAAGCTCAAACGTCGCCCTCTTAAAATAAAAATATAAAGATACTTGGCGATTGTTAACCTATTCTTTAATTTCACGTTTTTTTTATGGTCTGGTTGCTTTGTTAAATATCGGTCTTCCGTTTAGTTTCAATACAAGTATATATTACAAGTTTTTTACAGGAAGCAAGAGCAGACATTAATATAAACTTACCGAATAGAAGGCTCTGTGTATCGTTTTCATTCATAGTTATTACTTACACCTGAAGTAATCAGCAGTTTATAATATTGAACTTTGCCAGCTGCAACGTGAGCCAATGCGATTCCTTACTCCAGTGAAGAAACTTCTACTTTTAATATAAGTATACCGTTGTTTAGTTCTGGAACGAGTTCTAACAAAATAATTCTAATATTAAAGTAGGATCCGTGACGTCCAATATGTATAACTTTATGAGCAAGTTCAATTACTTGCTTCCCGTGGCTTTCCGGTCAAGTTGCAATCAGATGGAATTAGAATTACGGCAAACAGCATCTTCCTGGGTTTATGTATGTATTAATTTGCTTAGAAACAAAAAATAATATCAACATGTTTCTATATTATTTTCATCAAGTTTCTGGCAAATGTAAGTAAATAACAACATCCAAATTAAAAACGATTTATGAAAGTAAAACCTCATACGTATCATAGTACGTCATGTACAATCCCTCGATAACAACTTTACTTAGTTCGCATCATATATAATATATGTTTATGTGTGTGTAAGCTTTCAATCATAACATTGAAAGATTGCATAGTCGATGTTCCATAACAACCGTCTAGCCATCACACGGAATAATACAATATATGTTTTAAAAAAATCAAAGCTGTAACATAGTACTATTCAATTGGTGAATGTAGTTTGAAATGTTGTACATTGTTGCATTGTTTTGTTTGTTGTATTTCGCGCAAAGCTACG